CTCCTTTTGGCTATCTGCCCAGTGCCTCAGGAAAATTTTAAACTAAACCTCATTTATTTACATTTATTTTCATGTCATTTTATGTCATTATGTTCTCCATGTTTCCAGCACTCCAACAAATCTGGGAAGCATAAACCATAGTGAAAAACTACAATTATACTTTAATAATACAGGAATTTCCAAGTATAGTTACAATTTAAAAATATGAAAAATCTTAAGTGAAGGAAACCATTTAGTATCCAGGTACCAGAACTGAAAGTCCCTAGATGTCTACAAATCATAAGATCAAAGGTCAAAAGCAGCAATTTGGGCTTTAGCCAATACAAGGCATAAAATACCAGCACAATTCAGTTTATCATTCAAATATCTCTTACTACAGATCTAATAAATACTGTCTTGGGTGAGCATATGCTCTTCCATGGTAACCTTTATATTCATGGCTTGAAAAAAATGCTCTTTTTCTGTTTTTTCTGTCTCATGCATCTCCTTCTCCTTAACATATCTACATACTAAGTAACAGTAAAACTGGCTTTACCTACTTAAAGTCCTCCCCGTGGAGAAAGCAGTGGGATATGACTAGATAGATAACATTTATTCACCTGTGCTTCAGGTAAACTTCATAACCATAAGAAAAAGTTTCTAAAACAATAAAGGAGCACAACTTTCTATGCCATGAGTAAGGCAGATAGCATTTTATGTTTCCTATTTAATGCAATAAATCCACACATTTACAAGCACTACTACATAAGCTAGAGTTCTAGCCAATTGCACATGGGTCCCACATCTACAGCTGCACCTGTAACAAAAGAATCTGATCATCAGAGAAGCAGGAATGGCTTAATACAAGGAGAGGAGCATGGGGGCTTTATGACTCAGGTATCCCCTGTACTGCCTCACTATGCCTTTGGCAATGCTGTTTGGTATCTTTGTCCTGGCTACTTATACTTCAGCACAGGAGAAATTCCGACCTTCTGTCTTATCTGCACTTTCACTCACTCCTTAAAACATGTGGGCTTGGAGTCAAGCAGTTTCTCATAACATGAGCATCACATGCATTTTTTCTTTGCCTCACAAATGAGGAAGGTCTGCAATAGCAAGAAATAAGTAGGCTAAAGGCCATGATGGGTGAGTAACAACAGCCATATCTTAACACATAATGAAACATTAATTGACATAATGCAAGATTAATCAGCAAACAAACAGTTGTTTAGACAGGGGAAACACTATGTCCATACACATACAGTTATTCCTCATGGGAAATAATACACTCCAAAATGCTGCTTCATACACACAAGTTCATAAATGCAACCAATTAACTAATGATCAGATTATAATAGATGATCAATGTCTCTTAAAAGCAAAAGAAAGATTCAATTAAACAATTTGTTGTTGGCAGTTGTCAGCTTTTTAAGTCACAATGCCAAATTATTTGACAAAGCTAAGCACAGATGGATATGCCCTTACAGTTTTTGGAAATAATATTAACAGAAACTGGATTAACTGGAAACACACAGGATTTCTGCTGACTCCTGAAATAAAATCTGAGAAAGAACTCCAAGATCATTACAGTCGTGTAAACTCGACACACTTTCTTCTTTCAGGTTGCATCAAAGACTGCACCACGCTATGGATATTAAATGATACTTTGCACACCTAGGACATCATTCCAACTGCTGAGTATTTCTTACAAAACGAAGTTCATCTCTGGTAATATACAAGCCCAGAGATTAAAAAAAAAAAAAAAAAAATCTTGTGATAGTAGTGAACATTCACACTTAGATCAAAAATACATACTTAGATATCAACCCAAAACAAACATGTATTTAAATATATCTTTAATACACAAAGTTCTGACAGCACATTCCAATACTTTGGCATCTAAATTAGCTCACTCTTGTCCTTCAGTTTGGAGACCCTTGGAAATTATTAACAAGAGGGCAATTATCAGGTGAGGACCCTAGAGAGGATGTAGAAAACTAGACTTACTTCTTGTCAGTATTGAGGATTTTTCCTGACTGCCATTACTATTGGCCTGGATAAGTCAAAACCTCTTACAGATGTCAGGAGAAGATGCTATTTCTATATAAGAAAATGAAATTATTTCAGTTGTAATGACTAATGTCAGCATTCTAGCTGTGTGGACACAACTGGAACAGTTTTGTCCCATATACTAGTGACTAAATTTGGAGTAAGTTTCTCCTTAGAACTTGCTTAGGATTGTGTTTTAGCTTGTTTAGCAAATACTTGCCGTGTCGGCCTTCCCTTCCTGCATACATCATGGCCAGCAAATATATTCTTTGAGAATATTTGTAGTTTGACAATCATCTGCAGAAATCCTTTCCAGAACGTCTAATGGTTTAAAAAACCCCAAGCTTATCCAGGTGAGAAAAGCAGAGACTTTGTCTAATTCCTAATCTATTTAAAGTAATAAAAGTCATGTGTAATGACTCAGAGCATAGCTCTCCTTTCAAAACAAATACAATAGCAGCAAAATGCTTTGGCACAATCTCAGCTGAAAGGTGAAAAATTTTGCAGAAATGTAAAAGTAGATACAATCTGCTACTGAGGTTTAAGTTTAGTATGCTGAAAAGTTTTGATTCAATCAGTTTGAGTCCACAGTTGGCAAAAGAACTAAGGTAAGAATAGCCAGAAAGAGGAGCTCGTATGCTCAGGGTGGAACTACAATTGCTATCTGCTTGTTCCAGAATTCATAATATGAAGACTGCCATCTGCTAGAAACAATAGAAACCTAGAAAAAATGTAATGCCCTTTTAACTAAAATCCCAGTCTTATGACCCATCTCTTCTTCCAAATGTTTGACAAACAAAAAAGTGAATTTTTTTTTGAAGCAAGTGTTAAGTAGTAGACTTAAATATTTGAAAACATACTATTATTTTATCTTAAAAAGAGCCTATGAATTTATGAACATAAAAATAACATTTCTAACTTGTTGAAGCTGATTAGATCCCACAGTCTTGCATAACCAAACTGAGTAAATCTCCATACCTTCCCTGTTTAAAAAGCATACACCTATTAAAGTAGATGCCATGCCTCCGATCGCAACCAGCGCTGTTCTACTTGGCAGTTAAAACTAATACTTCTGAGTTTTCTTTTTTCCATCTCCCACCTAGTGTATGTCAAAATTAAAGATCTACGGAAATAAAAATCATGCTTAGCAACTTTCCCTTGTCTGACTGGATACTAAGTGAGAAATTCAAACAGCTAGGATTGATTCTTGAGTATTTTAAAACCAGTACAAAAGACTACAGTCTGTGGAACACCACATAGAAGGCTAGAAGAAAACGACTGGAATTTGATGAGCTGTTAGCATTTCTTTCATAAGTGCACAAAATTGTAACTATAGATACTTGCATTTGCTGGGCATTCAAGTTGTTTAAATTCCCTCTGCTGTGAGTCAAACAAAGCTGTATCATAATGGCCCCTTTGACACTAAGGCTGAGGTAAGCAGTTTCGTTGCAAGAAAAATACCAAACATGTTGAGATTTTTCAAGACAAATCTAGGAATTTAGACACATTTTCTACTTATTCACTGGACCCTGCATACCAAAATCATATAGATTACTAAAGCAAAAAGTTTCAAGCACTGAGTATCATCCTGTCTCTATTTTTCTTGCTAAAAGCCTGGAAAACAGCCATAAAATTTTTTGCAAGTGAGAGAAGAAGGAAGCTTAGAATTATTAACTATGGCTATTTTCACAAGTGAGTTTTGCTCCTGATAACCTAATGTTGTTAGGCTGATGGTGGTGCCTCATGAGGGCTTTTGACAAAGAAAGAAGATGGGATGGGTTTGGAAATGCTCTGAATTTTGACGAAGATGCCAGGAAAACAGGGTGGCATTCCAGCTGGTTCCACAGCACTTAACGCCGTGTCGTGGAACAAAGATGGCCTGTGCACAGTTTTAAACTAAAACTTACTGGCATTGCTGTCACAAGGGATGCACCCCGTGAACTCCATACCTCATGTCACAACCTGTGCAACAGAGAGTTAAAGACTCTGCAGAAAATTTACAGCTTATTTCTACAGCAGCTCCAACTCAGTAAAACTTTTGTGGTTTCTCAGAATAAAATACCTTATTTGGCTTGGGATATGCATGCACTAACAGTAAACATGGGAGTTACCTATAAGCCAAGGGATGCCAGATTCCAATAAGCTATTCATTTCAGAACTGGCAACAAACTCTGTAAGACTTCTTGAGAAACAAGGCACTGCTTCTATTTCCTAATTTTGAAAACCCAGTTTTCAGATTTTACTACTAGAAATGTCAGGCCAGCAGCCTTCCACCTGCTGGAAGGCTTTTTTTATATACGCTAATGTGATAGATCATGTTAATTTGTAGCTAAGTTGCTGCCACACCTGCAAGAAATATCTACGCTTTTCTTTGAGGAGCAACGTTGTCAAAAACAGAATATAACTCTGTGTTCATACTGGTCCTAACGATAACTTCGCCTAAATATCCCCTTTGTCCAGCTCCCCTTGGTCTGTGCAGATTCAGTGTAACTTAAATTTTGAAACTGCACACAATGAAAGAAGAGGACTCCATATCATCATTCACTGCATGTCAAGGAATTAAGCATTATTCCGCTGTGCCCCAACATCCCGTGTATCCATATACTAACAGAATATCTTGTGAAAAAGAAATCTAACCGGCAGATTCAGAGGACAATCCAAACTTGTTATGAACTCAAAGAAATGTTTCAAGAGGGCAGTAAATCATGTATAAATGACTGAAATGTAATGCTCTTCTCATGTAAAGAGCTTAAAAGTTATAAATTAAGCAAAAAGGAAACTCCAACTGCTGTTTTGTTTTTATAACAGAATAAAGGAAAAAATAAAGTTAGTTTTCAACTTTGTAAAAAGCTATCTAAATTCATGGGGAAAACCTAACATATCCTTTGTAAACCAGAATCAAAGAAAAGGCAATGCCAAATTCCTAAATGTCAAATATGCATATATATAAAGGTAAAAAAATGTATCCTTGCCTTTTTGTTCTTTAACATAGCTCTCCTTACAGTTGTGCATGAGCTGCAGAATCCACTGATGTTGAGCACCAATGCACTGCCAAGCTGGGTCCCCAGGCGCATGAAGATCAGAAAGATATCTGTAAAATCCAGTCCAAAAATCACAGTTCTGACTTGACACACTGAAGGCCTCAGTAAAACAGACCAAGCATGTACTAAGAAATACTTTTTCTTTTTTTACATAATTTAAAAAATTCAAGAATAGGTATTAAGATACACTCACATCTACTGCAAACAGAAGTTTTGCATTCCCCCTTCTTCAATTAGTGAGACAAAATTCCACCAAAAAAATCTTACAGAAATATAAACCTTTAATATCATATTAATATGTATTTCCAGTTGTGTCTCTTGTGATGTATACAGGAAACCAAACTCTTTATCTGCAAGGTTGCAGTTTAGTGATTCAGATTTGAGTGGAACCAGTGATGGCATCTCAAGCACATAAAACATACTATTTTTCTTCCTACTGTATATGACTGTATCATCATGTAACCTTAACAATTACAGAAGGAATTAAGTTCTGCCAGCTCAATAATTTTAGCACATGCCTGCATAAACTTATGTAAATCTAGCTCCTGGGTTGTCTTTTTATTTGTTTTGGTGTTTTTTTGTCCATGCACAGTCTGAAAAAAAAAACAGGAGGAAGAGATAACAAAAAGGATTGTGGCTTCTAACATGCAGAAGCAAAACACTGTCTGTCTTTAGGGAGAGAGAGCTGCTGTGATTTCGATGAGAACACAAAAGGAATGTAGTCTCACTTATGGCATTCAAGACTATCTGATGACAGTACTTTCAAGACTATTTTCAAAAAGTGGTAGCTGCTTCACAGTTTAAGGCACATTGTTACATTCTGCATTAATGAAACTTAGGACAGATTAAAAAAGTCAAGATGCTTAACGTGAACTATACTGATATATTATCTTAAGCAGTGCAGGGAATGTTTACTCCCTCACAAAAGCTGTTTTACTACAATAATACCTAATGTTAATTAGGACTGTGATGAATTCTGTCTTCTTTGACAAATGTCTGCAGCACTCGAACAAAAAAATAAACTGTCAAAGTAGGACTGGTTGGATGGATGACAAAACTACACAACTAACCATTTTGACAGGGTGACATTTATAAATTATGAGCTCAAGTCCTTTTCAGTCTTATGTAGGACTTCAGTCTTTTCTTAGGCACAAAGTTTAAAAAAAATTACCACTGGTCTTGAAATACATACATCTGCTTGGCTCAAGTGCTATGGTAAACTATTTCTGAACAGCATAAAATAATTAGTGCAACTACCCTAATACAGCGAGAGGAAAATATGAATTGAAGCCTAATTATAAGCATTAAATATCTGAAGGAAAAACTACAGTATTTTACATCTTGGTCAGCCTTCAACTTCAGAGACATACAAAACAAGTGTACCATGGAAGAAAAAACCTCATAAAAACAGCAGGGTTTATGCAAACTATTTTACAATTTGGATTTTGTTAGTCTCATTTTTGCTGAAGTCCTCTGAAGAAAATTTACTTCATACCTTGCCTTCAGAAAATTTACACTAATATACCCATGTATATTTAGAGTAATGAAACTAATTTAACAATTTCCTAAGCTGGGATTGTGTTGATTCATTAGAACTAAATTATTCCACATTCATCCACTCCCTGCTCTTCTTTATTATACTTCTACATGTGGAATACATTTGCTTACATTAACACAGTCTGCTTTAACATAGGCTGGGGTATTTTTAAAGATTCCGTAGTTCAAGGTAAGGGGCTAGAAACCAAACTACCTTAAAAACAACCAACCAAAACAACCAACCTCAAAAACTCAAGCAGGAAACAATAAAACACAGCCAACCAAAAAAACCCAAACAAAAAAACAGAATCAAGCACATGTACAACTATGAGTCTTTCAAAGAATACTTAGAAAAGGTCGAAGACCTGGCTTAGGTTAAGCAGCCACTCTTTAACGTTTTCAAGTGTCATAGAGGAAAGGAATAGCCAGTACTGTCTTCACAGACAGAAAAAGCTGAAACTAGTCATCTTAAGAAACAATTCCTGTTAACAGGCAATATTTATGTAGCATCCAGAAGAATGAGAAGCACTCTACATAGATGCACACAGGTCACTGTAGTCATAAACTCACACAATGGAAAGGACCTAAGACACCAACACTGCACTTGAGCCTGTGCCACCGTGCCTGATACACACACAGAACACTCCAGACCTCGTGCAGGTGTCTGAATTTTACAAATGTTTCCCGAACAGCACTTTGGCCTGCTTCTTTTATGATAACTGATAAAAACACTGAGATTGTCAAGACACACTAGGAGCCCTGGTAGATTCCAAATCTCAAAAGCTTTCTAAATAAAGCTGTCAAATGTTCCAGAGCATGCTGAAGTATGGCAACAAGGACTGAAGGGTTAAAATCTACATCAGCTCATCTCAGCAGCCCTACAGCAGACATCAGCGTTGTGAAAAACATAAAATCTGCAAATGTTAATGAAAACTGGCAACTAGCTCATTTTCACGAAATACGAAGGAACTTCATTGTTTAGCCTGAGCAGTAAGAGAGCCAATACCACCTTCAAACAACAGAATGGTCTGGATTAAAGCCTCCCTGTCATCTGACTCGGGATGATTCCACTTCAACATCAAGTCAAGCTGAAGTGTAAGACGAGTTAATAAGGAATCTATTTAGTTTGCATACTAGGAGTGGTCATTTCAAACACAGCTTGCAATATGTCGGTTTAGAGAAAGCAACAAAATCTCAAAATCCCTTAAAGATTTAAAAAATTAAATTCAAATCTCAAGTACACTGCATTAAATTGTTCTCATTCAAGAACTGTTTTTCAGTCCTTCAATAAACAATCCAGTACCATTCCATCACCATTATTTATATAATCATAAAGTCTCAAAATACTCACAGCCTTAAAATCAGTATTTAAACCATAGTAAAAGTAGTTTCTACCCTATTTAGGAAACATTTAAATACACATTTAACACCATATGTCTGATGAAGGCACTAGGCAAACTGTTACCTTATATAACGTTTCTGATCATGCAATGTTGACGGAGTTTCAAGCAGCTTATCCAACAAAAGTTCTCGTAAAGCTTCAATTCTGGTTTCAACTTCAGCATAATCTAGGAATAGGGAGCAGGAATAAATACAATGTGCCCTTAAGCAGAGTCATGAACTGAAAATTATGCTGTTTTCTTAGGGTAACAGACACTTCTGGAGTTATTGTGGAAATCAATATAAACCATTTTATAACAAGCCACATCTAAAAATATTACACATGACAGTTTTACAAAACCACAGAATTAGACTTTCAAGTCTTTCCAACAATATGTGAGAAATATATTCAAAGTCACATTTTAATTACTGTAATCTTTTTTTATGTCCAGTAACACCAAGCGTAAATAAACAAATAAAATTGGCTGTGATTTCACATTTTGTAGTATATACCTCACTCAGAAAACTTGCCAGAAATATTGCCTAGAGTAATTGGCTCCTATAAATCCATAATTTGTATGGATGAAAATCTGTATCAAAACCACATAAATGTTTGGTCTCCTATGTGCTTTTTAACCTTTAAGTTAAGGAAAAAAACCCGAAACCATTAAATAACAGAAGCTGTATCTTACATTTTTTGAACACTTGAACCTCTGTCTTTCCAAAGAGGGACTTGGCTTTTTCGTAGTCATTAATAACCACATCATAATCGCCCTTAAAAACAAAACCAAGCATTTATATTTGTCAAGGAAAAGACGAATGTCAAAAGGCTACTTTAAGCAAATAGAAAATTATTTTTGAAGTATTATACCTTCTGGATATTTCTTTCAATATTTAAGGGAAGATTGAAAAGAAATTTAAAGCGCTGAAGAACATTAAGTGCGTTTCTCGTTGAATCAGCTTTGTCCTTGCGACCCAGCACTTCTTGAAATAAGGTATCTGCTGTGTTACTGGCTCCTATTTCAAAAAGGGTGACAGTAAGAAAAAGTGTAAGTAATCAGTTGAAATCACAGATTTTCTTCATTTTAATGAGTTATTCAAGGTTTTTTTAGAGCAAATGAGTAATTATTGCTGATTTTCAAATTTTTTTGTTCAACTGTTTTTAACATTTTACAACTGCTGAAATTGCATTTCAAAGTGAACCCCTTAGCATTTTAATGTGGTAAGACCCCTGTGCGACTAAAAACAATCACTCTTTCCTATTTCAAATAGCTTAGCTTTTCTGCAGATATTTTATAGTTTGCTTTGGCTCCAGATGTACATTTTTCAACCAAATTATGCATCTCAGGATATAGAAAAAGTCATAGAAAGCTTTATTTTTTACAAAAGTATAATTTCATTTTGTTAATTAATGTCAGAGCTTCTAAAGTTATCACTGGATTTTGCAAACAATTTTTTTACGTTTTCAAGTCAAGTCTTAAAAATTATTAACAGTATTTGAACCACTTAAAAGTACCTATGTCAATGTCAAAATGTCATGATTAAAAAGTCTAACTAGCTGGTCACTGGAACAGAATGAATACAAAGTGTCTTCACATTGCATTAAAATTCTTAATGGCTTCAACACACACAGGATGAAGCCTTGATCAACAATTTCGTGTATTTAAGTGTCTATACTATCTATGAATACTCTTCAATAAATACATTAAATATCATCCTAAAGTTTCCTATATCCAAACTAAAAAGCATTCTATTTTCTAATAAAGATTGTTTCCTAAGATAGAATAATAAATTTTCATTTGTAGTAGAGAAGACTTACATTGCATATGAATATTTGCATTTTTTTCAACTTATGACTTACTTTTAATTAACCAAAAAAAAAAGTGGAACTGCTTTAGCCTTTTTGATCATTGCGTGTAGAAGTTTCTACATTATCTGGTCTAGTGACTATACTTTAAGCAAAGATGAAAAAAATTACATCAGTCTCGCTGGGTGGCTTGCATGCCATTTTCTCTAGTCAACACTGTGGGTGGCCTGCTCATGTTAAAAGTAGTCTTTGTAAAATAATTGTTATATCTAAATAATGTTTAAACTTTGTTGAAATTTTGAAGCCTTGATGTAAAAAAAGTTTTGTCAGGACATCTATTTCCACCACATAGTATTCAGCATAGAATACTTTAATCCATTAAGGAGAAATGTACAATGAAAACAGTTAGCTGGACATTTAAATACAGATCACGGATAAAGTATGATTTTTCTTAGGGTTAAAAGAAATGATTGTTTTGTATATCCTTCTACTAAGTAGAATTTCGTTTGCTTGAATTCGTATGTTTCTTGTCCATTCTTTTAACAGCACAGGAGCAATGTGCTCTACCTGGGAATCAAAGCTATATTCACGAAGTTGTTTTTTTTCTTGATTCAATGCAAACCTTTTTTAAAAGGTAATTGACAACTGCAGGAAGACCAAAGTAATTTCTATCTTAATCTCTTCATGAAATCCTCAATTCAGGGAAATGATTCTACTTTTTTTTTTTTTACGGGTACTTTTTCCGCTTTATAAGAAATTGAAATAAATCAAATACTTATTGAAATATATCAAATTACTTATGAATGTATTAATGTAATTCAATACTTCATGCATAACAGATCTATCTTTTTACAATTAAAATAATATTGCTTCCCTCCTCATCCCTCCAAATCCTCTCTACAATAACAATCTTTCTCTCTTGATTACCGATGAACCATCCATGGATAAAGTTTCAGTTCTTATATTGACTATGCTTTGAAAATGGATGATTCATTGACAGTGCATGAATTTTTTTACTTCAAAATAAATCTCTAGTTATTCAACAGTTGTCTGTCTTAGAGTCTGAGAAAAACACTACATATAGGAATTCAATTTACCTCCTTTAATATACAATTCTTCACTAAATTAATTATAAGACACTGCATGTTTCAAACAATATAAATTTAACAGTTTGTTTAGCAATGAAATTGAGCAAAAATTCCAAACATCTATAATTCCAGCTGAAAACCCAAACTGCTCTTTTACTATTCCATGTCATTTCAATTCAAGAACTCGGAACCCTCTTTACATACATTCAGATGCTGTGGAAAACATCCTCATTGTTAAGGATTTGTAACCAAGCTCACACAACAGCAGTTGTCTCTCAAAACATGCACCTACAGTCCATAAAATGCACAATTCAACTAAACAATTAAAGTAAATTTTGAAAGCAGTCCCTGCTACTCATGGATTATGGAAGCTTTTCAATGGTCAGACAAGAAACAAAGCTTTGATCCTAAACTACTTTGCATAATATTATTTACTCTTTTTAAATCCATGTATTCCTACTTCCCTGCCTCCCACCTATCATGACTTGCAAAGTATAGTGAGGAAAAGCAGCCAATTCTTTTCATAGCAGAGCCAAACTTCAAACCACTCTGAAGTGTCTGGCACAAGTTCCTCTACAGATCCAGCTTGAAAAAGACAGTTTGCATTGTCTACGTACAAACTTCAGCCACCATTTATCAAATGAAACAGTAATTATATATTATAGGTAAATTTGTCTTATATTAGTGTATATAAGAAAGTATCACAGACCTAAATTTTTGGTTTTTTATTTAAAATCTGTCACAATATTTAGTACAAGGTAAAGTGCTATCCAAGGAATCTGTGCTTGGTGCATGACATGGCCTAAATACAAAGCACTGAGGATTGCACTGGAAAATTTCAGCAAATGCTTCTTTTTCTCCAACCTAGATGTACCAAATATTCTGCACATATAGACACATGCTACAGTCTTTACATAGAGGTGTGAGATTTTATGTGGTGGTTTTTGGTGATTTTAAAATTTTTGGCAGTTTTTTTTTCATTTCAGGCATCAAGATGAGGGAATAACAATGTTCAAACTACACCTTTATTGTGAGCATCAAGGAATCCCTACTGAAAAGGGCTAGAGCTGTTCACAAAACCCCCTGCTTTCTTTGTGCTCTCCACACAAACACACATACAGTCACTGCTTTCTTCATACAAGAGAAGAAAAACAGTGAACTTCCATGTCACTTTCTTGATTTCATAAAACACACTCAGACTTCCCAACACTGAGTCAGCTATCTGCTTGTCATTCCTGCTTATTGATACAGCACTAAGGGAAACATCCCTTCCTCTGTGAAAAAAATCACAATGAAACAAAGTAAAATTATCTTGGCAGAAGTCCCAGAATTTACAAAAAAAAAAAGAAAAAAAAAAAGAAACTTTTTTGATCTGATGAAACACATACCGAACTGCAGCAAATTCAAGCCATCTCTCTCAATGCAACCTTACAGTTAATACAGAGAAAGAGAAAACAAAGTACTGACAACTTTTCAAGGTTTCTAGAAGGAATGATCATGCCAAATAGTCTAAATGCCAGCACATTAAGTGAAAGAGATCCTGTCAATAGACCTTGTTACTGTAAACATCTTATAATTGGGTTTTTTTCTGCCTTTACTTGAGTGTCTTACCATCTGGGTATTTAGCTCAGCTCATCCTTCTACAGTTTTGTCTATCCATATAATTCTCTGTTTTCTTCATCCATTCAAAATTGCAAAATTAACCTAAAGTAAACACTTTAGAACATCTTTATTTTGATATTTGTTATCACAAACATTGCCACACGTTGTGGTAACTGCTGCTACTTATTTCAAAGGATGCATTATCACACCCTGGAACCACTATCACCAAACAGGGAAGGGACAAGAGACTCTCTTCTATTTTCTACAATAGGAAATATTAGGAAAATATTAAAGCATGTTAGAAAGTCCAAAGTCCATAAATAGTTGCTGCTGGAAGGACAAAACTTACTGTTCAGTACATTCTCCAGTTTTTGCGTCATGGATCCTTCTACTTTTTCCGTTCCATCCGCTTCCAGTTTTTGATGGATTGCTGGAATAAAGTGTCTAGTTAAAATGCAGAACATTTTAATAGGTGGGAACACATTACATCAAAGTGACACTTTTAAACATTTTTAAAATTAAAAATAAAGTGTTATTTTTCTTTTTAGACACAAAAAAATACAAACATGCTTCATGGCAGCAGAGTCTAGTGGAGGACAGGGCTTAGAGCCAGACAGTGCAGAATTTTAACCATTACTTTGACATAGATTTCCTGTATCTTTTTAAAAAAGACAGTAATGCTTAAGGAAAAAAACCCCACATAGATATAGACAGAATAATCTATTAGCTATTATAATCTAAATTAGCAATCTTGTACAGGTATTAATTAAAATTTATATTTTGAAAAGTACCATTTAAACACATAATACTTCTGCTTTGTAAGTCACTGATGTCATAAAAAAGAAATTACCAATAATTAAAGGGTTTTCTCTTTCTCTAAAGAAAGTCACTGGGAATCAGGATTATCCCAATACCGAGCGCTAGAACATTCCCCCATCACTTCTTTTCATCTATAAAAGGCACTCCTAAAATACAATTTAAGAGTTTCTTGGAACATTAACCATTGTCACAATGTTTCTGTGTAATTTTGCTCAAAACAACAGGAAAACACAGGAGAAGTTGCTTTATTTTTTTTTAAGATGCGATTTTTCTCCTGTCCTAAGATGCCAAAATCCTAAACTCTTATTTCTGTGTGGTATTACTAATGGAGGTGGAAATGCACAGTACCAGCATTAATTTGTTCTTTTACTATAATTTACTCGAATTTCTTTTTCAGAGAAGGGGAGACTTAACAGCACAGCCTGATGACACTATGGTACTCTGAAAACACGAACAGTGAATGTAGTGTAGGCAGTCCTTTCTTCTACTTCCCCCCTCTCACACAGCCCTCCTTCCCTCTTCTAATGTTCAGCACAACCAGCACAAACCAGTATTTCTCTCTTTTAAGGTATTATTCCTGTATAAATACAGCACATGTAAAATATGATTTTCCTTTCAAATTTTTTATCTGTTAATGTGCTAATCTGATCTATCAAAAAGCCATCATCTCCTACTGCTTTATATATATTTGAGGCTTAAAAAAGTTTCCTACTGCTTTCAGATGGCTCTCAGTAGAATGGAGAGAGGCTAAGCTACCCTTGAAAACAGTGATACCCAATGCTCTGAAAAAAGCAAGTAATGATATATTTTAGTTTAAAACACTGCTTTCAGAACTGTATCTGTCTCTCAATTGATCCAGCTTATCTTGCTCCTGTTTCTATGGCAGAGCAACCTGAGCTCCTCAACTGGCATCTCTGAAGGTGAAACAACATTAGAAGAAGCACTCCAAGACTATACCTGACGTGCTGAAAGAAATACCTGGAATTCAATCCACTGGGTGAAATCTGAACTAGGTCTGAAATACTGCCATAAACTGCACATACCATGCATACAGAGATGCCACTGCCAACTGGTTTCCTCTCCAGTGCCATCCCTACTTGCCCATGCCATGTAGATGCAAGCTAACAAGTGACCAGGACAGGAAACCTGTGGCCTCAGTCCTACTGCAAGGAGTGAGTGAAGGTGGCTATTCTGAAACATGATGGCCCTTTATAGTCTCCAGCCTCTCCCAAAGAAGGAATTTTCATTGAGGGGAGGATAGAGGAGACAGCTGAGTAACACCACAGTGTAATTAAAAAAAAAAAAAAGAAAAAAAAGAAAAAAAAAGGAAAAAGAAGAGAGAAGGAAAATTGCATTATTCTCAAACATTCAAATTTGACGCTTCAATCCCTTGATCCTATACAAAGAATTACAGGAAGCCTTGCTTACATGAAGATACAAGAGCAACCCAATTTTCATTCTTAAAGTCATCAGAGAGGAAAAAAAAATCTAATTAGAACACCATATTTCTTAAGACAGTCAACCCTTAAATGAAATGAACTAAAACTAACAGATTCTTGCATATTTAAGGACATCTACCTTATAAGATGGTGTGTTGTTAACTGTTGCACATATTTTGTGTACAATGTAGACAGCCCCTAGGAACAAGAATACTTCCACAATTTTATCACAAAAACATTAGTGGCTCTACTGACATTATTCCATTTCCATATAACATATTCAGTCAGAGGCAGACAATTACTGCAGTGCAATTAATGTTGCATACTGAAAAGCAAGTTCAGCCAAACAGCAACCACAACATAAACAGACAATTTAAAGCCAAATGTTGCAAGTACTATTGGAATCACATCAAACTGTAATGATTGTCATTTACATATTTTGAAATCATTCTATGAGACATACTTTTGAAAGATACTTTAAAAAGAGACATGAATAAAAATCTAAGTTACATACTGCCTCAGAGATTTTTAAAATTTAGCATTTTGGAACCATTAATTACATGCCATTAATTGCTGACCAATTCAATATCATGTAAATTTGAAGGGGGAAAACCTAAGCATTTACAAAAGTGACTTGTAATATCTAAACCTCTATCAAAGCATACACACTGGGAACAAAACATAAAACATGATGAGAACTTCTTATTGGACATAAATTTTGAAAGAGCACTATTTACCGTGTTAGAACCTTCAACAAGTCTCAAAATGTAGCTTCTTATTATGAATGAAGCTTATTTAGAAGTTATGATGATATTAAAGTTAAAATATATATTTAACCAGTTGCTGAAAGTTAAAATACATCTTGAAAAAGCACTTCTCTTTCTCATCTTGTTCAGAAAAGTACATACAATAGCCATATACTATTCCCTCCTCTTCCTTTTAGAAGACAGAAAATATTTGTTTTCACATTGGTAGCTTTTGTGCATAGCAATCTGGAAAACAGTATTCAAGAATCTTAGTTTGAAAATTTTGATGTTGTAAACCCAGGAAGAATGGTTTTCTAACTTTCAGACAGAGAAAAGTATGTCAGCGGGGCAAAAAAAATAAAAATAAACCAAGGTGTTAAGTTTCAGAAACGTGGAAAGCACTGCAGAGTACAGATAAAGACATATTAAGCATATGTAACTAGGAGTGTAAATCAAAAGGCATTTTTGAACCATTGTCTGAAATAAGGTATTTCAGGACATTCTGTAAAATTCTGTCTAAACCTCTTAAATTACTCGGTGTTCACACAATAAATTTGTTGTATTTCCTTCTACATGTTTAAGCTACTTTGTTTACTGTAGCTATTTTTACACATTATAATTAGATTTAGCAATAGGTACATTTTGTTGTGTTCTAAGGCTGAGTTACAAAAGAAAAAAAAAGTCTTAAGCTTTCGCAGTGAGAAAGGCTTTCTAATGAAGTCTGAGCTTACTCCATTTGCATCAAATGATTTTGAAAAAGCTAACTGCATGTTCCTTCCATGGGGACCAGACAAAAAGTCTTTGATTTAGAGGTTTAAATAAGTGAAACTACATGCAGTCAAGAAAAATATCTGCAGACCTCATTTTTGGAAGGAATCTAGAGATACTAAAGTTATTTTTTTTCTCCTAAAGAAAAAGATGCACTAAATCAAGTAATAGTGGTTGATACTGTTTGGGACAACCCTTGTTCTCCTCTACGCAAAGGGCTTCTTTTTGCTGGACCTAGTAATCACACAGTCTAGCTGCAGGGCAGCTGTACTGAGATAATGTGGTGCAAAACTAACTCCCTAAGGAAGAAAAGTTGCTTTACTCATCAGTGAGCTTGTTTAAACCTTGCCTTAGTGGCAGCACTGCAGTATAAGGAAAGGAGCATATGGCCAAGGGAAGGTGGAAAGCCATCTTACTCTTCCCGTGCTACCCAGTATTTAAGATTACCTTCAAATGCAACTTTTTACCATCAACTCATCACTGGCTGCAATAAGAAGAGTAAGAAGAACATTTTAGGTCTTTGAAGGCTTGAAGTAAAGGATGGATGGGATTTTTCTTGAACTGCCAGTTATCCTGGATTTACCTGACACAAACTATACAAGTTGGAAAAGCAGTTGGAAACCATGCAGAATCTGCTCGTTATTTTTAGGAGCTTTACTGTAAGAAGCATACAATTAATAAAAATGAGGAAAGGCTACAACCAAGGCCACATAATTAACTGTATTTTGTATCATTTTTGCCAGTAGGTATTAATGTTTCCCAGCTAAGTCAGAATATTTAAAAACTTGCAAACTTCACAGCTGCAGGCAGATACTGATTAATAATAGTGAATAAACTAAGTTCAAAATTCACAACCTCTTAACTGTGGCTAAATGCACCAGAACACATGCAAAGTTCAATCTGGCAAATAAGCACTAATACAGGCCTTGTATTAAAATAAACTGCAACTAATTAATTGCTACTCGCATAGAAAACAATTTTATTTAATATAAGAAAGGATATGGGGTTTTTTGTTAGATTTGTGGCAACCATAAATCTAGTAAATTAAACCACTTGCCAGGATCATGCAGCTTTTGATTTGCAAATTTCATACTTGATTTTCTCATTAGATATTTTTTAAATGTATTTTGAGATAGGCACCAGGCGTGGCATTCTCAAAAGTTCCTCAGCCTAACTCTCAGCTCAAAGCACCACAGATGAGTATTTTCTACCATTTACTGAGTAAAGGATGGCTAGAAACGCATGTGGCATATCTGAAAATCTTACTCATTTTCACAGAAATGTGGTTAAAGAAAAAAGTACTTGAAATAAATCACATCCTTTTAGTCAGATGCAGAAAACAGGAGGGAGAAAAATACAAGAAGGGCAAAGCCGACTCAGCAAAGTGTTTCTGACCATCTGATGTGGTAACTAAGAACCTGGCACCAAAGAACCATAATGGAGGAATGAAGAACACATGCCAGGATTCATGCCCAATGCATGGATAAAAATGCCTTTGGTTTCCTTTATTGGAAGATTAATTATTTTTTGTAATTTTAGCAAAATATAAGAACGTTATTGATGAAGACAGTATCCCTATGTAAGGTAAAAATTGTTCTGAATGGATTCAACAGGACTGCAGGGCTGCATATAAAGAAGAAAGAAATAAAGACAGCATG